CACTGATGTATTTTATTAATATTATGAAGACATTTTTTCAAAAATTTCTGCTCATTAAAACTTTTAATCTTTGTTGTTTTTATCTGGACAATTATTTATCTTTGGTGTTTTCTGGAGACATTTTCTCATTTTGAAATTTTTTTATAGAAACAAGTTTTACACCTGACAATAGTGCAGCATCAAAGTCTCATATCAATATTTGTGATCAATAATCAGTACTCACTGGGTTCAATGGTTAAACTGGTCCCACTGCCAAAGAAGATCTTAAATCCACCTCCAGCATTCACACAACATGAAGCAGCGTGACACAAACTCAGCTGTGATGAACTGGAATGGTTACATCCCAGTTACACCAATAAGACATGTTTTTTTATTTTTTACTTCAAACAAATGACCAATATAAATGTGTCAATTTTGATATTTACTGTAGATTTTAAACTAAATGTTTTCATAGTCATGGATCATATATTGATTATTCTGATTAATCAGTCAATGCATTGATTTTTATGATAAAGACGAATATTAATTATTTTCTACTTTGTGTTGATTTTATGAGCCTGAAGAGTCAAGTGAATAATTTATTTAATTTATATCAGTACTCACTGGGTTCAATGGTAAAACTGGTCCCACTGCCAAAGATGAGCCGATTCTGATTTCCACCAGTATTCACACAACATGAAGCAGCGTGACACAAACTCAGACTGATGAGCTGAACTTTTTTTTACATTAACACTATAAATAAAATGTAAATTATAATAATGAACTGAACGTTAGAGACACTCAGTGTTTCAGTGTTGATCCTCTAATTAATACATTATGATTCTCTGATGTATTTATAATTATTATAATTATTAGGATGAAGAAGTTAGAGCGAATTATTGTTGTCTCTGTTGCACATTAACAGTGATTATGATCAATAATCAGTACTCACTGGGTTCAATGGTTAAACTGGTCCCACTGCCAAAGATGATCTTATTCCCAGTAGTCACACAACATTAAACATCGTGACACAAACTCAGCTGTGATGAACTGAACCAAACCTCATTTAATAAACTATAAATTTAACAGCTGAGGCTTCTGACTGATGAATAACAGTGCAGTTAATGAATAAGATGTTTTCAATAGAAATAAATGTCTGTTATAAATATATTAGAAATCAAATGTCTGGTTACTGTACAGCAGATCCTGAACACCTTTGATTCTGACTGAGCTGATTTATTTATTGATTATAACAAAGACAAGTGTTTATTATTTTGTATTTTGTGCAGATTTAACGAGCCTGAAGAGTCGAGTGAATGTTGTGTGTAACATACAAGATGAACCTTATTAATAATCATTATGATCAATAATCAGTACTCACTGGGTTCAATGGTTAAACTGGTCCCACTGCCAAAGATGAGCTTTTGATTCCCAGTATTCACACAACATGAAGCAGCGTGACACAAACTCAGCTGTGATGAACTGTACCAAACCTCATTCAGACTTCACATCACTATAAATCTGTTTATCAGTCTGTGACCTATGTTAGTGATCATACTTCTAATTTTCATATTGATTAATCTGATTAACACATTATCCACTAAATTTGGTTTTATCATCACATTAATTAAAACTCTTTATTTTTTGTTTTTGTTCTATCCAAAAAGTGACTCCTGCTGACATTTTGTTGACACACTGAATTATTATTTCTTTGGTTTTTTTTTAGCCTGAACAGACGAACAAATCATTTCCATCTTTTTTTTTTTTAACTTCTACTCCGGTTTTCTTTGTATTCACAACACACAGGTTAAAGTTTGTGTTAAAGACTCATACAGATATTAATCATGATATTCAGTCCTACTCACTGGGTTCAATGGTTAAACTGGTCCCACTTCCAAAGATGATCTTACTTCCAGTATTCACACATCATGAAGCTTCAGAACACAAACTCAGCTGACTGATGAACTGAACCAAACCTCATGTAGAAAACTGACAGATTAATTTTACACCTTCATATTTAGATTTGTTCTAAAATATCTTCTTTCAGAATATTAAACCAGATGCTGTCAGTTTGCTTCTCTGATATAATCCTCATTTTTATATTTCAGACATTTCACGTGACGATCACAGCAATAAGCTGCTTCATTAATAAAATATATGTTAGAAACTAAATGTAAATTTTGACCTTTGCTTTGCAGAGGAGACACTGATGGAACTATTTAAAATATGTTTGTATCATGCTGTAAAATTTGCCTTTAAATACACTGCAATAAAAACTATTTATGATCAATAATCAGTACTCACTGGGTTCAATGGTTAAACTGGTCCCACTGCCAAAGATGAGCCGATTTGTGTTTCCAGTATTCACACAACATGAAGCAGCGTGACACAAACTCAGCTGTGATGAACTGAACCAAACCTCATTTAATAAACTATAAATTTAACAGCTGAGGCTTCTGACTGATGAATAACAGTGCAGTTAATGAATAAGATGTTTTCAATAGAAATAAATGTCTGTTATAAATATATTAGAAATCAAATGTCTGGTTACTGTACAGCAGATCCTGAACACCTTTGATTCTGACTGAGCTGATTTATTTATTGATTATAACAAAGACAAGTGTTTATTATTTTGTATTTTGTGCAGATTTAACGAGCCTGAAGAGTCGAGTGAATGTTGTGTGTAACATACAAGATGAACCTTATTAATAATCATTATGATCAATAATCAGTACTCACTGGGTTCAATGGTTAAACTGGTCCCACTGCCAAAGATGAGCTTTTGATTCCCAGTATTCACACAACATGAAGCAGAGTGACACAAACTCAGCTGTGATGAACTGAACCAAACCTCATTCAGACTTCACATCACTATAAATCTGTTTATCAGTCTGTGACCTATGTTAGTGATCATACTTCTAATTTTCATATTGATTAATCTGATTAACACATTATCCACTAAATTTGGTTTTATCATCACATTAATTAAAACTCTTTATTTTTTGTTTTTGTTCTATCCAAAAAGTGACTCCTGCTGACATTTTGTTGACACACTGAATTATTATTTCTTTGGTTTTTTTTTAGCCTGAACAGACGAACAAATCATTTCCATCTTTTTTTTTTTTAACTTCTACTCCGGTTTTCTTTGTATTCACAACACACAGGTTAAAGTTTGTGTTAAAGACTCATACAGATATTAATCATGATATTCAGTCCTACTCACTGGGTTCAATGGTTAAACTGGTCCCACTTCCAAAGATGATCTTACTTCCAGTATTCACACATCATGAAGCTTCAGAACACAAACTCAGCTGACTGATGAACTGAACCAAACCTCATGTAGAAAACTGACAGATTAATTTTACACCTTCATATTTAGATTTGTTCTAAAATATCTTCTTTCAGAATATTAAACCAGATGCTGTCAGTTTGCTTCTCTGATATAATCCTCATTTTTATATTTCAGACATTTCACGTGACGATCACAGCAATAAGCTGCTTCATTAATAAAATATATGTTAGAAACTAAATGTAAATTTTGACCTTTGCTTTGCAGAGGAGACACTGATGGAACTATTTAAAATATGTTTGTATCATGCTGTAAAATTTGCCTTTAAATACACTGCAATAAAAACTATTTATGATCAATAATCAGTACTCACTGGGTTCAATGGTTAAACTGGTCCCACTGCCAAAGATGAGCCGATTTGTGTTTCCAGTATTCACACAACATGAAGCAGCGTGACACAAACTCAGCTGTGATGAACTGAACCAAACCTCATTCAGAAAAATGTCATTTTTAAATTACAGACTAAATGTAGTTTAAATAATTGGTTATTATTACTTAATATCATGATGTATTATTTTATAAAGGTGTAAATGGTGATATTTACTGTACAATATAGATACTGAACAAACAGTTTTAATGTTCGAGCTCCTGATTAATACACTGATGTATTTTATTAATATTATAAAGATGATTTCTGCTCCAAAAAGAAACTTTATTAAAAATGATTTTTCATTTGTGGCTTTTTCCAAAGGCTGTTTTCCACCTGACGACAGTGCAGCCTAGATAACTGTGTTTTAAATGGTTTTAAATGTGTTGCAGTAAAACACTGTGAAGTTTGTGTTTAAAGATGCTTCATATAAATAATGTTTATGATCAATAATCAGTACTCACTGGGTTCAATGGTTAAACTGGTCCCACTGCCAAAGATGATCTTTTGACCTCCAGTATTCACACAACATGAAGCAGCGTGACACAAACTCAGCTGTGATGAACTGAACCAAACCTCATTCAGAAAAACATCATTTTTACATCAGAGATTTCTGCCTAATTAAAAAAGTCACTCTTTCATTGAAAATAATTGATTAATATAAATCATAAATAAAATGTTAACAATGATATTTACTATAGAGATACTGAAGAAACCTTTATTGAATTTGATTATTTGAACAGCAGCTCATTAAATCTTTCTTTTTAACGCTTCTTCAGTTTTGCTGTTATCTAAAGACACATTGTTTTAGTTCCTGACGTTTTGGAGATACAAGTTTTCAACCTGACGGCAGTGTTTGTGTTGATTTAATGAGCCTGAAGAGTCAAAAGATTCGGTCACCGTCAGCAGCTGTTCATTCTGCCTTTGTAAATGTGAAACACAGTTCATGTTTGTTCTTAAAGTCGCTCCACTTACTATATGTTTATGATCAATAATCAGTACTCACTGGGTTCAATGGTTAAACTGGTCCCACTGCCAAAGATCATCTTAGTTGCACCTCCACCAGTATTCACACAACATGAAGCAGCGTGACACAAACTCAGCTGTGATGAACTCAACCAAAGTTTTGGTGTTTCATTTCATTTTAAACTTTTGTTTTTTTTAATGATTTTTGGTTGTTTTTTCCTTTTTTTCCACCTGACGAGTTTCATTAAAAATATTTTTACTATTCTGGTTTTATACATGTTCCAGTAAAACACTGCAAAGTTTTCATTTCTTCATATGAATAATATTTATGATCAATAATCAGTACTCACTGGGTTCAATGGTTAAACTGGTCCCACTGCCAAAGATGAGCTTATTTGCACCTGCACCAGTATTCACACAACATGAAGCAGCGTGACACAAACTCAGCTGTGATGAACTGAATCAAGTTTTACATTTCAGACTAAAGTTAGTGTTTTATTATAAATAATCGATGAATATCATGATGTATTATTTTATAAAGGTGTAAATGGTGATATTTACTGTACAATATAGATACTGAACAAACTGCTTTAATGTTGGAGCTCCTGATTAATACACTGATGTATTTTATTAATATTATAAACATGATTTTCCAACAATTTCTGCTCATTAAAACTTTATTAAGAATGATTTTTCATTTGTGGCTTTTTCCAAAGACTGTTTTCCATCTGACGACAGAGCAGCACAGATAACTTTTTTTAAATGGTTTTAAATGTGTTGCAGTAAAACACTGTAAAGTTTGTGTTAAAAGACGCCTCATATAAATAATGTTTATAATCAATAATCAGTACTCACTGGGTTCAATGGTTAAACTGGTCCCACTGCCAAAGATGAGCTTAGCTGCAGCATTCACACAACATGAAGCAGCGTGACACAAACTCAGCTGTGATGAACTGGAATGGTTACATCCCAGTTACACCAATAAGACATGTTTTTTTATTTTTTACTTCAAACAAATGACCAATATAAATGTGTCAATTTTGATATTTACTGTAGAGTTTAAACTAAATGTTTTCATAGTCATGGATCATATATTGATTATTCTGATTAATCAGTCGATGCATTGATTTTTATGATAAAGACGAATATAAATTATTTTCTACTTTGTGTTGATTTTATGAGTCGAGTGAATCATTTATTTAATTTATATCAGTACTCACTGGGTTCAATGGTTAAACTGGTCCCACTGCCAAAGATCATCTTAGTTGCACCTCCACCAGTATTCACACAACATGAAGCAGCGTGACACAAACTCAGACTGATGAACTGAACTTTTTTTTACATTAACACTATAAATAAAATGTAAATTCTAATAATTAACTGAACATTAGAGACACAAATGTTTTACTGTTCTTTTTTGTCTTTATTGATCTATCTTTTTCTCCTCACTTTTAACTCTCCTTTTTTAATGAATGTGATGTAATGTACTGTTCTTTTTAGGGTGCCTATTGTCATCAGGCTGGGGACTACAGCTGGATATTAGCCATGTTGGCTAAAGCTGCCCTTTTTACTGTTATTTCTACAGTCAATTAATTGGGATTGTCTGCGATACTATAAACTAATAAACTAAACTAGACTAAACTGAATGTTTCAGTGTTGATCCTCTAATTAATACATTATGATTCTTTGATGTATTTATAATTATTATAATTATTAGTATGAAGAAGTTAGAGTGAGTTATTGTTGTCTCTGTTGCACATTAACAGTGATTATGATCAATAATCAGTACTCACTGGGTTCAATGGTTAAACTGGTCCCACTGCCAAAGATCATCTTCTGATTGTTAGTCACACAGTACGAAGCATCAGGACACAAACTGAGCAGCGACCAACTGAACCAAACTCCATTCAGAAAAACATCTGTTTTAATGTTTGACTCTTCCGTCAGGATGATTTTGTTTCACGTTTTCTTAATTAAAAATAAAAATCTATCATAAATTATTAATGAGATGTAAATGTAGTAACTGAGCAGAGCTGTCACACTGACCACTGTCTGGACAATTCAACCATCAAGCTGGATGTGAGTGTGTTTGTTTGTTTGTTTGTTTGTTTGTTTAGATTTTGAAAAGTTGACAGTCTGCAGATACAGACTTTAATCTGACAGCAGAGTTCATTACAAGATTGTGTTCAGTCTTTTGTGACCTGCTGTCCTGGGTTTGTGTGTATTTCAGTAAAACGCTGTAAAGACGCCTCGTATGAATCATGTTTATGATCAATAATCAGTACTCACTGGGTTCAATGGTTAAACTGGTCCCACTGCCAAAGATGAGCTTATTCCCAGCTCCAGTATTCACACAACATGAAGCAGCGTGACACAAACTCAGCTGTGATGAACTGAACCAAACCTCATTCAGAAAAATGTCATTTTTAAATTACAGACTAAATGTAGTTTAAATAATTGGTTATTATTACTTAATATCATGATGTATTATTTTATAAAGGTGTAAATGGTGATATTTACACTGATGTATTTTATTAATATTATAAACATGATTTCTGCTCAAAAAAAAAAAAAAAACCTTTTTAAAAAAATTATTTTTCTTTTGTGGCTTTTTCCAAAGACTGTTTTCCACCTGATGACAGTGCAGCACAGATAACTGTGTTTTAAATGGTTTTAAATGTGTTGCAGTAAAACACTGTGAAGTTTGTGTTCAAAGATGCTTCATATAAATAATGTTTATGATCAATAATCAGTACTTACTGGGTTCAATGGTTAAACTGGTCCCACTGCCAAAGATGAGCTTATTCCCAGCTCCAGTATTCACACAACATGAAGCAGCGTGACACAAACTCAGCTGTGATGAACTCAACCAAAGTTTTGGTGTTTCATTTCATTTTAAACTTTTGTTTTTTTTAATGATTTTTGGTTGTTTTTTCCTTTTTTTCCACCTGACGAGTTTCATTAAAAATATTTTTACTATTCTGGTTTTATACATGTTCCAGTAAAACACTGCAAAGTTTTCATTTCTTCATATGAATAATATTTATGATGTATATCAGTACTCACTGGGTTCAATGGTTAAACTGGTCCCACTGCCAAATATCATCTTAGTTGCACCTCCACCAGTATTCACACAACATGAAGCAGCGTGACACAAACTCAGCTGTGATGAACTCAACCAAACCTCATTCAGAAAAACATCAGTTTTACATTTCAGATTAAAGTTAGTGTTTTATTATATATAATAATAATAATGATGTATTATTTTATAAAGGTGTAAATGGTGATATTTACTGTACAATATAGATACTGAACAAACTGCTTTAATGTTAGAGCTCCTGATTAATACACTGATGTATTTTATTAATATTATAAACATGATTTTCCAACAATTTCTGCTCATTAAAACTTTTAATCTTTGTTGTTTTTAAAAATGATTTTTCATTTGTGGCTTTTTCCAAAGACTGTTTTCCACCTGACGACAGAGCAGCACAGATAACTGTGAGTTTTATTAATATTTTTTTCCTTCTATTCTGGTTTTATGTGTTGCAGTAAAACACTGTGATGATGCTAAAGATGATTTAAACTCATAAAAACTTCTTTCAGTCTTTATTTTATCTGGACGATTATTTATTTTTGGTGTTTTCTGGAGACGTTTTCTCAGTTTGACATTTTATAGAAACATGTTTTACACCTGACGACAGTTCAGCACAGAAAACTATCAGTTTGATTAAATATTTTTACTGTTCTGTTTTTGTATGTGTAAAAAAAACACTGCAGAATTTTAATTTCTTCATATAAATAATATTTATGATCAATAATCAGTACTCACTGGGTTCAATGGTTAAACTGGTCCCACTGCCAAAGATGAGCTTATTTGGATTCCCAGTATTCACACAACATGAAGCAGCGTGACACAAACTCATACATTTAGGATTTGACTCACTGATTCCAGCTTCTGTTCAGATTTAAAATAAATTTACAGTAAAAATACTGAATTTTAACCTAAAAATATTTTTTCTTTAATTAAGTTTGTCAGTGTCCTGCTGCTGATTAATATGTTGTTCAGTTGATGTAACTGATTATTATGATGAAATCAATCTTTCAACATTTTCTGCTCATAAAAAAACAAAAATTTAAACTTTTGTTGTCCATGTTTTTTAATATTTGTTGTTTTTCAGTAAATGATATTTTATATTTGATGTTTTAGTGATAAACAGTTGACTGATCTTCTCTCAGTGTTTGATGTTCTGATTATTATGAACAGTAAAACTCTGCAGACACCCCTCAGGTGAAAATACAGTTTTGTCACCTGCTCGTCAATTTTGAGATTTTGGTCGATTTTGCTTCCATAAAATGTCTCTGAAATTTACACAAACACATTTAATTGGATAATTTGCATATTTAAACATGACTTTTCAGAAAACTTGTAATACAAAACATAACTGGCTTAGTGTGAGCAATAAGCTGAGGGAGTTTCATGGTGATATCTGTTAGTAACATTTTTAACCCAGTCCAGTGTCTTTTGTTTGACTTTTATAATCCATATTGTTTCAGGCCGTTTTCACTCTGATGCAAATATCTCCACTTAAGTGACACTTAAATCCACCAGATTTTCCAGTTTGATTCCTGTTTATATTCTGAAGGTTTTTACAGAATGGTTTGTTCATATATCTTTCACAGTCTGATTTATAGAACTTTTTATTCCCAAACATATGGCAGAAATGGATTTGTCATGGCTGTTGACGGCAGACGGAGTGATGAAAAGAGAAACAACTTTTGAAGAATCTTGAACCTGACTTTATCCAGTGATCAGATTTCTGTTCTCAAAATGTATAAACATCAGCTCATATTTAATGAGATAATGCATCATTTACATATCAAAACATAACATTTCATAAAACTTGTAAAGTAAAAAATAACTGTCTTAATCGAAGTTATCAACTGGAGAAGTTTCATGGTGATATCTGTTAGAGGCTTTACGATACCATATTATTGTGATATTAAACACTTTGTGATATGCTGAGTATTGTGATGACATATATTGTGACATATTGCACATTGTGACCTTTTTACATCTGTAAATGGAAACTTTGACTCATCTGTTTTATCTCAAAGACAAAGTTTCCAGTCTGTTCATGTCACAAACAAATGATTTCTATTGCAGCAAAATGAATCTGAGAAAACGTTTCCTTTAATTATTCCATTTACCCCATGAAAATATCACGATACTATGCTGTACTGATTTTTTCCTCCCCTGCGTATCCACTCATTAAGAACTGGACCCTGCTCTCCTGAGCTGTCGCTCCTCAACTTTAAAGGAACCTTTGATGCAGCTCATCAGTTTCCTGCCGTCAGGTTTTATCAACACAGTGAAAAAGATTCAACTTACTGTCATGAA